CTTGAAGCCTGAAAACGATCGCCCATAAAAAACACGAGCAAACAGCAGTAGCTGACGTCCTGACTGGATTCTACGTTAGCATAGATCCCTCCAGAGTCTTGTGCACACGGTTTAGGTAAAAATTAAAAAGGTTGAGGTTTTACATTTAGTTCAGTATTACCTGTTGCCTGTGTCCTTGTCTTTTGGGAAAATACTTTACACCAGTAATGGCTCAAAGATGATTCCTTTTCTTTACTGTGCTGCAATTGTTTACTGGATTATTTGTGCCATTAATTAGTGTCAACTAATTTTTATTCAATCTCCACACAGGATATGCTTGTGAAGATGGAATATGGGGGAGAGCAGAAGTGCGTTGAAGTTCCACAAAGGGATGAATGAAGGACATGCATATTGTATTGAAGAAGTAAGTGTTGAGAATGCTGTTATTTGCATTTACCACACTGTAAAAAAGGGCAGTGAAATTGACATAAAAACCATGTAAAACCCCTACAGAAATGTATAGTAAACCCCGAAAACACAACTTTCGTGTTTCGATCACAGTGAATTATTGTAAACCTTTAAACAGAATGTTCCTGTTATATTTACAACATGAATGTGTGATTATAATCAAATTTATTGGTTAAAACTATAAATACTGTGAATAAAAACAGTGAAACACTGTAATACTCATAACCAAACAATCATGTTAATTTGACATGCAAATACTGTAAAAATCACAGTTTTAGTCAGTTTTTCTTAAAAACACATGACCTATATGTAAGTCACTTTACAACTGCATGGATGTACTGGGCCTACTTTTAACATGATTCATGAAATGATGCAAAGTCATGGATAGGACTAATAAAAATGTTTTCACAGAATGTCATGATCCGGAGTCTGCGACTCCGTGTTTGTTTAGTTTATTAGTATTCTGTGGTTTTGGTTACCTTGGGTGTTTATACTCTTCTGTTTCATGGTTCATGTTCCTATGTTCTGTGTCCCCCAGTCTGTGTTAAGTTGGTGTGTTATGTCATTGCGTGTATGTGTTTCCTGTTTTATTGTGAAGGTCTGCGTCTTATGTGAGTGTTTCAGTTTGTCTCCCTACTCTCGTCACGTGATCACTCCCAGCTGTGTTCCCACCTGTATGTAATCTCCCTGTGTTCTCTGAGTGTATTTAAGTTGTGTCTTCTGTCATAGTAATTGCTGGTTCGTCTGTGTTGTTTCCCCTCGGTCTCCCTGCGTCTTCCCGTATGTATTTCTCCGGACCTCCCTGCATCCTCGTTTCTGGTTTGTCTTATTAGTTTACCCAGTTTAGGTTTCCAGTTTCATGTTTTGTCGCCACCGTTGTTTGTACTTACCCACCTCTGTGAATAAACACTCACCTGCACCAGAGCTGCCGCCTTTTGGTCCCTTTCTACAATTCCACACGGCTTGCCCCGGCAATCCGTGACACAGAAGATGTCATTGTGAACCTGAGAGGTTGCCTCTCCATTTATAGGCTATATAAAAATATACAATTAAAATTGTTTACATCATGTTTTTTTCTTAAATCATTCGGGCTATTTTCAGCCTATTGTAGGGTAACCAATAAGAAATTATTATTTAACGACTAAGTAATGCTTCTGTCATAATGCTTGTATTCTTCATGTTTCTTTTAATTGCAATGTGATACTTAGACTAGAATACTTTTTTGGGTTAGGTCAGCAATGTCTCATTATTACAGGCTAAACAAACTTACAGTGCCTCCCATAGGATCTCTATGGTGCCTCATCTCCACAGAGCTGTAAGCTACTTCAAACCACTCACCGTTGCACTGAGCGCGCCTAATTTTGAATGTGCATCTGAAGCTCGTCTCTGATTGGATAATGACGTGAGGGCGGGAGGGGAAGAGCGCCTAGTTCACGACTATAGCTAACGAGCCAGCAGAGAGAGAAGACGGGAGAAGAAAACGTCGAACTTTCAGCAACTACGTTGTTAGGACAAATGACAAACATACGATTTCAAGTGTTCTTTGAGGATCTGTGTTTGTTCGTCAGAAAGTCTGCACGGTAAGTTCAATATCTAGGCGACGTTTTTTCAAGATAAAAGCACCAGTTGATATTTAGACCAATGCTCATAACCTAGCGCTAGCATGCTAGTTCAGCTGAAAAGCACAGGCAAACTTTTGAAATACTAAAAATGATCATCTGCGTCTTTTGTAAAAAGGTATTGGTCACATTAAGAGGCTATGTACTACATTGCAGAGTGCATAAGAATGAGCCTTGTTGTATTTTTAAATGTGTTGGCGCCAATTGCAGCCAAACATTCACCACATATTCTGCTTTCAAGGGGCATTTTTATCGTGTGCACAATGCACCTGCACTTCAAGCTACTCATAAAGCTCTTGTTGCAGATTTAAAATGTGCGGTTTCATTATGTGCCCGCCATTTTCAAAAAGTGAAAGAGCTAGTGTCTCACTTAAACGATCATATTGCAGAGGGCAGGTCTGTGTCATGTCCAGTAAGTGGTTGTAAGCATATGTTTACAAAAAAAGTCATCATTTACTTCTCACATGTGTAGGAAGCATAAAGCTTGTTCCCCAGATGGTATTGATGACATGTACAAGGAATCTCATCCTCAGCCCCCAAATGACAGTACAGAATATTCAGAAAACACACATGAAACCATGGCATCTGCTAGTTCAGCCAGTGATATGCCAGAGAAGGATAGTCATTCTTATCTCAGAAACATGTGTGTCTTTTACCTTAAACTGCAAGGACAGCTGCTAATTCCTCCCTCTACTATACAGAGTATTGCTGAGGAAATGCAGAATGTGCACGAATTGGGTCAAGCCTACACAATTAATAAGGTAAGTTGTTTACTAAAAAATGAAATGAACCTATCAGATGAAGCAGTCACTAAAATCTGTGACTGCATTAAAGAGTCAGATTTGTTCTCTGCTTGCCATCAGGGACAACTAGGAACAACACACACCAGAAATCAAACATTCAAAAAAATGTTTAAATACACAGAACCCAAGAAAGTGCCATTGGGAATGGATGAAAACATGACAGAAAAATGTGCTTACTACATACCAGTTGGAGAAACCCTGAAGAGCTTTTTAGAGTCACAGTTATGGAGGAATACACAGTCACAACAGTTTGGGGTCCTGATGTAGAAATTTTTAAGGATTTATATGATGGCAAAATATTCAAATGTCACCAGTTCTTTAATGAAAACCCGGAAAGCCTCAAACTGATTTTGTACCAAGATTCATTTGAGGTAGTGAATCCCCTGGGTTCTGCTAAAAAGACGCACAAACTTCTTGCAGTCTATCTGTCATTAGCAAATTTACCCATTCATTTGCGTTCAAATACAGATAACATGTTTTTAGTCTTGTTGTGTGTTGAGAATGACTTCAAGCGTTTTGGAATAGCCAAAGTTTTCTCAGAGTTGTTGGCAGATCTGAAATCTTTGGAGACAGATGGAATAGATGTAGATGGAGAAACAGTAAAAGGGGGTCTTTACTGTATTGCTGGGGACAACTTGGGTTCTCATTGCATAGGAGGGTTTACAGAAAACTTCAGCTGCTCTCAATATTTTTGCAGGTACTGTGAAGTAACACGAAGTGAGTTTTATGCTGATCCAAATGCCTGTGGTCCTCCACGCACTCCAGAGACATATGACGCGGCTGTTGCTGATCTCCAGTCTGAAACTATCCAAGGCGTCAGAGGAATAAAGGTAAACTCCATCTTCAATACCCTTCAGTCTTTTCACGTATCCCAGCCTGGTCTCCCACTATGTTCACTTCCCCACAGCATTTTGGTTATACTTTGTCTTGAACGTGGTCATGGCCATGACTGTGTGTATATATATGTATATACTTAATTTTTACTTACTTTGTACGTGTATTTTAACTGATCAATTATAAAAATGCTTAATAAACTTTTATATGATTGTTATTCTACAGGTGTTTCTTCTCCATAAACCCAGAAAAAGGAACCAAAGTAGAGAACAAAAACTCAAAGCGTCGTCTCAGTGTGAACCCTCGAGTCCTCACCCTGATTCAGGATCTCGCCGACCACGAGTGGCGCTAAGCCTAAATTTTGACTCTCTGTGGACTGTTAGTTTTACTTTGTTAATTTTGTTCCACAATGTGTACTGGAACCTTTTACTGGTCGAATGCATGAAGCCAATTCATGAAGATGTTCTTTCTTTGTAGGAATGTTCTTTATTTACATAAGAAAAGAAAAAAACAACATGCGGCTACTGCAGTGTTTCTAGACCACATGTGTAGGTTTGTTTCACCACGTGGTTTTGCTGATGTTTTCTGACCAGGGCCATGGTTGTGGTGACAGCAGGGTGCGTGTTGCGTTGCACGGTGATTATGATCATTTTTGGCACAATATGTGTTTTTTGTTTTAAAGTAGAGCTGGGCGATATGAGATTTTTCCATATCACGATATGTTTTTTCATTTCAGGCGATAACGATATATATCACGATATAAGCCAAATAACTAAATTTGTAAGATTTAAATGTGCCGTTGCTCACAAGTAAAATGTGAAATAATCAGCCGCTTGTTTTGATTTAAATATTTATTTACCATAATAAGTTAAACAGGGCAGATGTACTTAAGGAAAATGAGACTTCAGTTTCAAATAAATAAAGGCAAATATTGCAAACTAAACAAAAAGCAGCCGCTAAAGCGTTTAAGTTTGAAAATAGAACAAACAAAACAGACTACTAAATTGTCACTTCCACTTAGAAACAAAATATTAATTCTAAAAATAAATCTTAGTTTTTCTTTTTTTACAGAAGAACAGACAAAATTGACTAACTTTTGTCAATGTCAATATCAAATGAACTGAGAACTAAAAGGAAATTCTCACTCTCCTTGTTGTATAGCTGAGCTTTTCCAACAGTTTTAAAATAAAGATGCTAACAGAACATTCTTTAAATCCTAGGTACACATCCAAGGTGCAACACACACACACACACATATATATATATATATATATATAAACTTTAGTCTGAAAAAAGCCTACAGGTTGTGGGACAGGAAGACAAGTCTATCCACTGCTTCAGGCTTTAAAGCGGCCCTGTGGCAAGTCACAATATTACCCCCTGTACTAAATACCCTCTCAGAGGGGCTGCTGGTTGCGGGGATGCACAGGTAGCGCTTTGCCAGGCAGCTAACTCTTGGGAAGCTTCTGTTGTTGATTTTCCACCACTCAAGTGGGTCCATTTCACTGTCTGCATCAGGTGCCAGCAAGTACTTTTCAAGCTCCTTTTCAACTGTCTCTTTCTCAGTGAGCCCTGTGCTGGTGGGGTGGGATTTCTTAAAGAAACTGCCCAGTGACTTTCTCTGTTTCTTCTGGGTTGGTAGTACTGCAGCAGCTCCACCATCTTCTGTTTCCTCCGTTCCAGCTGAAGTGGATGGGTGCTCAATTTGCCCCAACATCTCATACACTGCTCTCATTTTGATGGCATCAACGTGTTCTGCATTAATGTATTGTACTTTGAAGCGCGGATCTAGCAGGGTTGCAACATCAAGCAGTTCATTTGTAATCTGGTCATTGTACTTTTCATCAAGGTATGTCATGACTGTCATCTTAAGGTCTTTTGTAAGTTGTGTTTCAACCTCAGATGGTTTCAGAATCTGTGTTCTGAAAAGGTGAAGCATCGGCTTGAGGTAGGACACACTCACGTAACACTCTCCAGAAAGTGAATCTGTGAATTCCAGTAGTGGGTTCAGGGCCACATGCACAGACTCCAGAACATCTAGATCTTGCCAGGAAGGAACCAAGTGCCTGGTCTTCTTATCTGCACTGAGGACCTGAGAGATAGCTTTATGTTGCTCCAGAACCCTCCCAACCATTTTTTGGCGTGAGCCCCACCTGGTGGGCGACTCTGTCACTAACTTGTGCTGGGGTAGGTGAAGCTCCTCCTGAGCAGCAGCCAATTCCCTTTTCTTCTTCCAAGAGAAACTGAAGGTGGCCACCACTCTCTTACACACGGCCACAGCTCGCTCCATCCTCTTGTCTTTGCCGGCTTTTTCTGTGGATAAAAAGGTAAATAATAGCACATATTAACCTCAGAATTTAATTTAAGATTTTTGATTTTTTTTTTCCAGTCACAAATAAATTTCACTGCCCTGAAAACACATTTACTTGCTATGATTGTACTTTTACTTTTTTAAATTTTGCTGACAGAATGACCAAATTTTTTTTCTTATATTTAAAAAGGTGACAGAGGCTGGTGTTATCAACATCATTGTTTGACGTTTTCATCACTTGTTCTTAAAGAGCTGAGGTTCTGTATTAGCCAATTGGGATCCTGATAGAACCCCAAAATTCTAAATTTTATTTGGCACATTTTGTCAACTTGATTTACACTGAAGAGTGACTGAATATTTGCCTATTATGCATGCCAACAGCAACTATTACCTCAAATAAATAGGCTGACATGAAGAATATTCTTTCTGATGTTTATTTTTTAACAATAACCATTGAAGTGATTTAGATCTCTAGCTTTTAATATGTTTACATGGGCTCAAAAACACAATTAAAAGAGGCATTTTTAATTTTATTCTGCTTCCCAACTTACCGATAGCTGAGTGAAGTCGATGTCCGAAGCACTGCAGCCGGGTCCAGTTATTCAGGGATGTGGCCTTCACTATATTTGTCCCACTATCGGTTGTGATGCAGACTTGTTTGTCTTCACTCAGTCCCCAGGATGCAAGCGCTTCTGACAGTCCTAATGCAATTACTTCACCCGTGTGGTCGTCGGGAAGGTAGGCAGCTTGAAGACATTTGCTTTTCAGATTCCAGTCTTGGTCGATATAGTGGGCAGTAAGGCTAAGGTAAGGTTCTGACGTGCGACTTGACCACATGTCGGATGTAGTAGCGAAGAACGATACAGTTTGTAGCTCCTTCTCAACAGCCTCACGGCACTCTCTATATAGCATTGGAAGCGCTATCTGAGAGAAATGTTTACGTCCAGGGAGTTGGTAACGAGGATCCAGTACCTTAATTAGCTGCTTGAATCCTTCATTTTCGACCGTGTTTATTGGTAGCATGTCTTTAGCAAGACAGTAGGCTATGGCATTCGTTATGTCGCTATGTCTCTTAGCTTTTTTGTCATATGGTAAGACGCTGGAGAAAGCCGACTCAATTGACTGTTGCTGCTTCGCAGGGATTCCCCCGGTTGTTTTCGATGACAAATTAGCACTTTCAGTCAGAGATTGAGCGTGCTCTTGTGGGTGGCACTGCTTCAGGTGATGAAACAGGTTAGTTGTATTTCCAGTCTTGGTGGGAACATGCTGTCGGCACAACTTACAGTGCGTGCTACTCTGTTTTTTGTCAGACTTCAAATAGCCGAAATATCTCCACACTACGGAACTTTTCCGGCCCTTCCTTTCGACAATCTCTTCGGCATTCGAGCTGTCATCTGTGTTCTCTTCCGTTCTCTCGGTTGATTTTTCTCTACTTGGTGCACTCATTTTCTCCATCACCCAGTCGACACGGCGGTTAGCTGCTAGCTGCTTCACAAACAAATACGCACGTGCGCCTTGGCACTTGTGCTGTACGTAACAAGTCACGTGACGTGACGCTGCGGCTGTGATTGGTTCGGCTCTGCGCTACTTAATTTGGATTGGCTGACTTTTTTTTTCTTTTTTTTTTTTTAAGAGGACAAGAGCGGCGAGGTCTATCGCGATAGTTTAATTTCTCTATCGAGTAAAAGTTATATCGCGATACATATCGTTATCGTTATATCGCCCAGCTCTATTTTAAAGTCTTAACAGGTTATTTAACTTTTTCTGGTGGAGGGTCTAACAAATGCTTGTTTCATGAACGTGGTTCTTGCTTTGCAGGAATGTTCCACAGCTTTTATAGCCTATATTTTGATTGAATTGTGTAGTTGCTGTGTGCATTGCATATTGTGTTAGTTGGAAAAATGGATCCATTTGCTGTCATTTTGCTAATGTGGCTGCAAAATAAATTTCCCAAAAGTGATATTTTCCTCTCTTGTGTTTTCTCAAGATGTATTTTTGCATGTTTGGGTGTAGGCGTAGCAGTAAGAAATTTGCTGGGTTATGGTTAAAATTTTACATTAAAACATATAATATTCAGCATAGATTTTATGTATAATTTACAGAGCAGCTCCATTTAATATGCACAGTTTCACCATAGTTCTACCATGTTAAATTAGTTCTTTGTACGATATTTCCCTGTTAATTTTGCAGTTTATGGATCCACAAAAAGCATTTATTACTTGTAAAAGATACAGGAAATAGTGTATTTATATATCACATCTATGTGTGAAATTAACTTCTTTTTCCTGTAGATTTAACTGTTTTAATCTGAGATTCATTCACTGTAAATCAATTTACAAGTTGCATCTGTAAAGCGTTTTTACAGGAAGTCCCTGGTAACCCCAGCTGCCAGGGTTTTCCTGTAAAAACAGCACGTTTTTTTTACAGTGCAGCTCACCTATGTCAGACCTTTTGATAAACACAATTCTAATGAAAGTGAGAACATGTACACTGTTACATCTTTCAAAAAATGTTTTGAAATTGTGGTGCACAGTTCAGAATAAATGTTTTTCAAAAACTATTGCATCTGTTTAGTAAATTTTTATTTCCAAAAGAAATTTCTATAAGTTCAGAACAGTAAAATTCCCGCTTTTTAGAATGAATTAGAAGATAACTCTTACGTAGTTAAACTAAAATACTCTTTGAGAGTTAATATATAAACTCTTAACACCAAGTGTTAAATTATTAACTCCAGACAGATTTGGTGTTTAACACTAAATCAGAGTTAACGTACCAACTCTCCAAAACGAGTTAAATTAACACTCTCTGGTGTGGACCCATATAGACACTTTAATAGTGTTGAAATCAAATCCGACAGTGTTAATTTGGACATGCTGGATTTGCTGTGTACAGAGCACCAGGAGGAGAAAATCATTACAGTATGTTTTTGTTTGTAAAATAAAAGCTTTGCTTGATGTTTCTGGTCTTAAACTTATTGTATATTCAAATACCCAGTTTAATAAATTCTATGGTAAGTTTCCAAGTAATATTTCACATAAACACATAATGTCACTTTAGATATATGGCATATAGCAAATATGGTGAGTCATCCTTTATAGGGTGCCAGAGGAGCCACGCAGCTCTGCCTGCCTTTGCTAACTTAAAGTGACACGGTCATGTCGACTTATCACAGTCACCAGGTCTTCAAGTCCTGGATAAAAATTGGTCTTCTTCTGGAGTTCCTTTCTAGTAAATACTTCAATAGATATTATATTTTGGTATATGTGCTGGTCGGCCTGATGTCAGCATGTTGGCAAATACTATAAAATAAATATTTTATATTTCTTTTTTCCTTGAAAGAAAATTGTGACTAAATGACGAGAGAAACAAAACCAGCAGATCTTGATACAATATCAGCATTTGGCCCTCAGGCAGACTGTTGTTTTAAATCTCAGTGCGTCCCCGGTTAGCACTAATTCTAAAAACAGCCAAAGTATTATCAGGGTGGCTAATACAGAGGCACAGACCATGAACTGAACAGCACTTCATCCTCAGACTCATAGAACAGTAATCAGACACAACAATAAAACTATCTGACTGATCTTGTGCTGCATTGAGAGAACCTCAGTGAGTGTGCTGCCATCAGGACTGTGCATTAGATTTATCCCATTGTTTCTACAGACTGTGTGTAAATTATATAAAACTGAAACATGAGCTTGCTGTGCGGGTTATGGTTCACAGTAGCATCTACAAGCGAGAGCTGCCGACTCCCAGTTACAGTTTTAAAGCTTAGCAAAAGGATAACAATTGAAAAGTTTCATGCAGCTGTCATGACGGTAGAAGTTATCCATGGAGGTTAAACCTGCTTCATGCTGCTGAGAGGTCGAGCAGTGCCTGACCTTGACAAACATGCAAGTGTTAGGTCTGCACTCGCAGGCCTCGCTAGCTCAGAGACGCATCCCTGTGAACAAAGCAAGACAATCAGAGCTCAATCCATTTCAACTTGCAAGGGAAGCAGGATCTTGGATCTGAAAGTCCCTCACCTGATCCCAGCCAACGTAAAAGAACCAGCGTCCCCTCACAGCCTTTTATTCAGTGAAAACAGTTACAGAAATACCTCATTGCAAAACCCATATGGTGAGTCGTAAAAGCTATGGCACTGTGTGTATATATGCACGTGTGAGCATGTGAGTGAATGTGTGTGTGTGTGTGTCTCCCTGGTTACAACCGTGTATCAACATCCCGAGTAATGAAAGGGTCATCTCCCTTACTAAACATTCCTTACTAAATAAGGAAACCAGAACCTTACATGCAATGTGCCTGCAACACTATAGCTCATAGCATCCCCCACCATCCTAGATGTAGGGGAGGAACAGAAAAATATCTGAACATGCACGGCAAGGTTTACAGTTTTAAGCACAACTTTTATCAAAATCACTCCAACAGTAAGGATGTTGAACACATTAGACCAGCAAAAACTAAGTCTATCAATTCATCTGTTGGTTTTTCCAGATCCTCATCATGCGGAGCACAACACGTGATGCTGCACATACTAAGCCTGCCCGTATGATCACCAGTGGGAAATATTTCCTGCAAACAAAGAGACTAATTAAAAGAAAGGACTCCACTGAAAAGCAGTGAGCAGGTGTAGAACAGTCATGTAGGACAGCTCACACACACATTTGGGGTTCAGTATCTTCTTCACAGACACTTTGACATGTGGCCCATAGATAGGAGCCAGGGATCGTACTACCAACCCTCTGATCTGCAGCACAAATTCAAATTCAAATTTAAATTCAAATTTTATTTGTCACACACACACAACCATACACAGTATGACATGGGGGTGAAATGCTTGTAGCTGTACAATGCCTGACCATTAAATGACAGAAGAAAAGTTTTACAATATTTACAATTTACAGTTTACTACAAAAATTTACAAATTAACTTAGGAATTTACAGTAAAGAATGTGCAAATAGCAGAAGAGATTATAAAGATAAGGATTAGGAATTATAGGAATTATAGGATTATAGGAAATGTGTGGTGGTGCGTGTGGTGACGTGTGTGAGAGTCCAGTCTTATAGTGACGTGTGTGGGAGAGTCCAGTCCTACACCTGGTTCAGGGCCCGAATAGCCTGGGGGAAGAAGCTCCTCCTCATTCTCTCTGTTTTGGCCTTAAGGGAGCGGAAGCGCTTCCGAGACCTCAACAGTGAGAAGAGTCCATTGTTGGGATGGGAGAGGTAAACCAAATTATACCGTACAAGGAAGAAGACACAACCCTGATGCACGGTCACAAGTCCTGGTGTGCTGGACGGCTGCTGTGATGTATTAATGGATCTGATCTCGGGCTGAGCAAATGTCAGGGCAACAGGTGACGACTGAGAGGGACATGAAGCACGGCCGCGCCTCTGATTATAAATCTGTCGTGGTGGCTGCACATGCAGCACAGGTGCAGCGTGGGCAGGCTGAGAGGACAGGCTGAGTAAATGATGCTGTGTGTGTGCGGTGTGACTTTATATGAGAGGTGCACTGATTCACACACACAAACACAGTCTAATCTCTCTAAAACTGAAAAACACCCTTAACTCGAGGGACCGCTCCGTCCTCCTCTTCCTCGCCTCGCTCTGCAGTGCAGAACAGTAATAGTTTCTGCAGATGCTACAGTGTCCACTGGGAGCTCTTGTTTGGACAGAGGTTTCATTTTCTGCTGTGGAGTTGTTGTTAGTCTCCTGTTGACGGCGTCCTCAGAAACAGGCACAAGCACACTCTCATTACCCCACTCAGCCTGTACAAGTGTGCATCGCAGTGGACACAGGGGTCCTCCCTTGTCTGCTGGATGCCATCATGTTGCTACCAGTGGACAGCTGAGGGCTATGCTACAGTCACTTTCATGAAAGGAGACTCAGTGGATACCCAGAAACTACAACAACCATGTGCTTACTCTCTGCTACCAGAAAGAGAAACACCTGAGACTAAGATTAGTAGTTTGCAACAATCCTGAAACAAAGCAGCATTATTTTCAGCAGTGAGAAGAAAATCCCAGCAGGAGAGGATACAAAGTCTGCACACAACAGTCTAAACCAAAGACCCTCTGCATCTGTTTATGTAGCATTGTCTCTGAGAGCCCATTTACAAGGAGTAAAATACTCAAACATCAAGGACATGAAATTAAAAAGAGGGACCAAGACACAATAAGAGCACGAGAAAGGAAAAAGAAATCAACACGTCACTGTTCCTCCCACTGCCACACATTTTACCTGTCCTGTCGGTGTGTGTGTGTGTGTGTGTGTGTGTGTGTGTGTGTGTGTGTGTGTGTGTGTGTGTGTGTGTGTGTGTGTGTAAAACATAGGCTGTGTCTTCTTAGCCAACAGTAATGTTAAAATAAGCTAGTAGTCCATGAGTCTGGGGTAAATGATGGAAACACCAGAATATGGCAAACACATGAAACATCCATCTGTGCTGTAGG